CAAACATTCTTGGTGTCATTGTGTGCTGTCAACCCTCCACATGAATATACATGCTTGTTGCGCCGGTGGCTGTTGCTTTTAATATTCACTTCTTGGCAAGGAACCAAGTCCCATGTACCTCAGAAAGCAAACCATTTCCTTGCGGGCTAGATGGTGACGACCCGCATGAAAATATCTGCATCGAAGCATAAAACCCAGGGGTTGCTTGCTGTCACAACCAAAACGGATGGTAATCATGGGTAAATACGTTTGCTAGCACCTCACAAACCTTTGGCTTCGCCCGGCAAATAGACTTAGTATCGCCACTACTTAATCTAGTCTGGCCACTGCAAAATTTGGTATTGCCAGTGCTAAATTCAATGTCGCAAGCACTAAATTTCGTATCGCCAGGACTAGACTTAGTATTGCAACTACGCAATTTGGGTGTTGCCGCTACCACAAAATTGTCCAGACCTTCCGCGACCGAGCAGTCTCTATCTTTGCGCGGGACGAGAAATTTCTGCAGAGGGTTGATTCTGGATTCGCTCCGCGCAAAGATAGAAACCTTTTTTTGGCATCCCAAGGGATCACTTTTTCCCGCTGGGAGACTCGCAATACTAAAGCAGTCTACAAGGGATCGTTTCCACAAACAGTTCTATCTTATCGCGGGACCCCCTTTCCAAAATCATTTTCCAGACGTTAGCTTTTCTACCTTTCCGAGGATGGCTATAAATCAATTGGACGCTCAAACCAAATCTCAAACAAACGCTCCAGTAATACTACATTACTTGGAAACCCAAGTACAAGCTCATAAGGAAGCTCCGGCAATACTAAATCACAAGAAAACACAAACCACATAATTTCAATTCAACCGGACACCCAAACCAATGCTCAAACAAAGGCTGAGGCTATTTCAGGCAATACTACACTACTTGGAAACACAACTCAAGTCTCAAATTTGAAGCTCCAGCAATATTGAATCACAATCAAACACAAATCACTTCATCCCGAATCACATTGACACTCAAATTCAACTTCAAACAAAGCTGCAGAATTGAAAACCCACTTCCAACCTGAAAAGGAATCTCCGGCAATATTGAGTCACAAGAAAACACAAAACACAACCGAACGCTCAAACCATGGCTCAAACAAAGGCAGAGACTATTTGAGGCAAAACTACACTACTTGGAAACACAACTCAAATCTCAACATTAAAGCTCCAGCAATATTGAATCACAAGGAAACAGAATTCATATCATACCCAATCATATGGACACCCAAATTCAAATTCAAACAAAAGCTGCAGAAATACTACATGACTTGAGAAGCCCACTTCCAATCTGAAAAGGAATCTCCGGCAATATTGAATCACAAGGAATCACAATTCAACAATACTTGAAACGGATACTCAGCCCCATTTCAAAAGAAAGCTGCAGCCAAATCAAATCAATGAAACAACTCAAATGTGGCCTGGGCAATACTTAACAGTTCTAAACAAAGCAATCACGATGGGAAGTTTAAAGAATACTTCAGCGCCGGCTGATTGGTTGAAGGTTTACTAATCATAGGTTGACTTTACTAAATAGAATGGAAACTCAAAAGAAAACCTGCCCACCCACCCTGACTTCCCTCCGCCGACACCCAGCCAGATGCAAAAGCAGAGCATACAAAAGAGAGAACCAAGTGATAGAAAACTTCAAACTGACATGGAGGACGAGGAACAGGGACAGGATCGCAGAAGAGAGGTGACAAAAAATGGCTGCGGCACCTGGGCCCAGGCTTTCTAGTGTCCCTTTTCGCGTTGCCGTGAACCCGAAGCCCGCAATCGAACCACCCATCTTCTGCCTGCGAGGGATTTAGCGAGCCGGCCAGGGCATGACACCGGGGATTGAAAACTCCCCACCCCGAAGGGCGCCCTGATTTAACCCGACAAGCGAACTTCAAGAACTCACAACTTGGCGGGCAGTGCGATGTTTTCATTGTTTCCCCTAGCCGCCAGCCCCCGAGGGTGCTCAAGGACCATGGTCGCTTAAGAGCAGGGTACCGCTCCAGGGGGCGCTGGGTGCCTGGGAACCTTCGGGTGGGCTCCGGGCCGAAGTCGATGAGAGTCTCCAGGAGGTTCAGGAAGTCCATGCCAGGGCGGGGAAAAGAAACCAACAAGCAGGCAATGCACAAGACAAAAGGCGCAGACATAGTAGTGGGGGGTTGGCCCCCCCCATGATGATCGAAAAACTGATGATTCGATTAGGGGTGGCATTTCAATTGAAAGGGGGGCAAGAGGAACTGGCGATGCTGAGGATGCAGGAACCCACGGCCAAAAACCAACTGGGAAAGCAGAGGATGCAAAAAGCCAAAGCCAAAGCCACAAAGCCAAAAAGCCACCTGCCGGAGAGAAACTGGTAATGCAGAGGATGCGAAAAGCCAAAGCCGCAAAAGCTGCATAACCCCAACAAAAAGCCGCAAAAGCCAAACAGAGAGGAACTCAAAAGAAAGGATCAAGAGACCAAAGGACCGAGGGACCAAGGGACCAGAGGACCAGGAGATGCAAGGATGAAGGGGTCAAGACCAACTGAGCAGAGGCCCAAGATAACTACCAAGACCAGGCACCAAGGGACCAGAGGAGCAAAGAACCGCAAAAGGAAGGGACCAGGAAAGTGGAGGACCAAGGGACCTAGGTGACACCAAGGCACCAAAGGGCCACGGGACCAGGGGTGTTCAAGGAACCAGAAAATCAAATGACAACCAAAAGAACACAATATACAAGCAGCAGAGTGAGATTGTGGGAAGTTTTTCTTGATTGCTAAAAGTTTGTTGTCGATGGCTGATAGATTTTTGTTGATTGCCAAAAAAGTGTTTTTTGATGGTCATCCCGGTAGCGTGCGTGCGTGCGTGCGGGCGGGCGTGCGGGCGTGTTGGTGTGTGTGTGTGTGTGTGTGTGTGTGTTGGTGTGTGTGTGTGTGTGTGCGTGTGTTGGTGTGTGTGTGTGTGTGTGTGTGTGTGTGTGTGTGTGTGTGTGTGTGTGTGTGTGTGTGTGTGTGTGTGTGTGTGTGTGTTGTGTGTGTGTGTGGTGTGTGTGGTGTGGTGTGTGTGTGTGTGTGTGTGTGTGTGTGTGTGTGTGTGTGTGTGTGTGTGTGTGTGTGTGTGTGTGTGTGTGTGTGTGTGTGTGTGTGTGTGTGTGTGTGTGTGTGTGTGTGTGTGTGTGTGTGTGTGTGTGTGTGGTGTGTGTGTTGTGTGTGTGTGTGTGTGTGTGTGTGTGTGTGTGTGTGTGTGTGTGTGTGTGTGTGTGTGTGTGTGTGTGTGTGTGTGTGTGTGTGTGTGTGTGTGTGTGTGTGTGTGTGTGTGTGTGTGTGTGTGTGTGTGTGCGTGTGTGCGTGTGTGCGTGTGTGCATGTGTGCGTGTGTGCGTGTGTGTGTTTGCGTGCACAAGGACTTGCGTTGCCCGTGTTCAACAGAAACCGTGAGTCAGAATCAAAGTCGAAGTCTGCTCCCTACCTGCAAGCTTATTTGAACGCCTTATTTGGGGTCTCCTCCAAAATATTTGACAAACCTTATGGGCGGCTCTTTTCCAAATTTGGACAACTCGGCAGACTGAATCTGCGCCAGAATCGGAAACTACTTTCTGACGGAAGTTTAGTACAAAGCGTAGCTGGAACCAACCGAGCGTCGTTCAGCAACACGTTCTCCCGCAGCATCCACTCCCGAAACCTCTCGTCGCTGTAGAAGCGCACGTACTCGTCCACCGGCCATTGCTTCACCTGGGCCGAGGGACACCCTGCACCACCGGAGGGTTGCCCCTTGAACACCCCAGGGAGGTCAAATTGGCCAAGGCAATCTTGGAAACCACCCTGCCGGATTGTTTTTTTCCCGGAACCACTTTCGCCACTGTTGAGTGGGTCCTTGAAACCCCCGAGAAAAAAAAGAAGAAAAAACGTGGGGTCGCTACTAGGGTCCCCATGCGCTGGATCCCCCATTTCTATCCGAACTCCAAGCCACGAGGTATCCCAACCCTCCTGGCACGTCCGTCTTGCCCTCCGCCACCAGGCCTGATGCCATTTGCTGGTACTCCTCAGGTCACACCCGGCGGAAAAAGCGGCCCCCGCGGGTGTTCAGCTCAAGCAAACCCCCAGGAAGACAAGAGAATGGGGCCAGCTGTTTTGGGGGGGTCAGGCGGGGACATCAATCATGGGTTTGAGTCTGCCCAGGGGCAATATCAACAAATGGAACCCTGCTCCTCACGGGCTGCCCGCAAGCGGAGCTTCATCATAGCTACTTCGCAGGAACGTTGCAAAGCAGTGGGAAATGAGTAGGAACTGGTGAGAAGCGGCAGGCAAACCAGCGGTTTCCGTGGGGTTTTTAGCAGTGCTCCCTTCAAACTCCTGCCGTTTCAACCACTGGATGTTTCGGAAGTCCCAGAAAAGATTCAGGAAGTTCCCTCTCTTGGGACTTTGTGCCACAAAGAATCAAACGGAACTTCAAAAGAAACCAAAGGTGATCTTTGATGATTGTTTGGGGTTCAACCCCACTCCCCACCCCGCCCCACCCTCAGCTCCCCTCGTGTTGCAAGACAATCCTAGTCTGCCGCCACAACGGCTTCTCGTTCGGGTCTATGACAGGGCGCGATCAACTGCCAAATGAAAAACAAAACAGTTGCTTGAACATCATTCATTTGCGGTCCGTTAGAAGCCCCCTTCCGAAAGTGCACCCTCTTTGGGTGCGGAATTCCTCCCCTCTTCTGTTCGGGAAATGAGATAGGTTCAAAATTGGGGGGGGGGGGGTTCTGTATGTGCGAACCTGAGGTGACTGCATTTCCTTTCTTGCACAGTATGGTGATCAGGCCCCACCCCAACCGCTCTGAGTCAGCCACAACTTGTTTCGTGCTTTTTGTTTTGAATCCAAAACCAGGGACTTGGATGTTTAATCCAGGCAGGAAATGACCATAGTCCGAAGGGGCATCATCATGATTATAGCACCTGAAGAAATCTGATTAATCCAAGGTGTCCAGCCGAGCACGTGACAAGCTGGCAATCCCTTCTTGGTGACCAACTTAGAGGCTCTTAAATCCCATCAGCCACTGTACGTCCTTGATCTCGCTTCCCGAGCTGTTTCGTTTGCCCATGGTCCAAACCCCAAAAGAAAGACTGGGCTGTTCAAAATGGAGGATTGGCCAATCCTAATCCATAATCCCTATAAGAAAGCCACTACAAAGGCGACCTCTTGCATAACCCCAGGTAAGGATCTTGCGGATTACCTTTGAACAGCCCAAGAAGTCCTTTTGAAACTCTTTGCCACTCCCACGGTCTTTAAACCCAAAAAGAACGAGACTCAAAAGGGATCCTTGCATGATACACCTGAACATTGCAACTTGTAAATGGTGGTTTCCCTTTATTTTGGCACGGGAAAGGCCACGTGTTTCAAATGCATGGGCAAAATGGAGATCTCTTAAGGAGCCCTGCTCAAGGAGGGACTACTCTACCCGAACAGCTCGGAGCCCATTTCGCTCCGTGTCGAAGCTCCGCAGGTCCAGCACCTCCGCCAGGCCCACCAAGGAGGCCACGTAGCTGGTGAGCTTCCCCGCCAGCCACGTGGGGCTGCCCACCTCGCCGGCGGTCAAAAATGGAGTGACCACCAAAATGGCCTGCCCCGGGAAATGGAAACATGGACCAAAACCTGCGGTCCGATTCCTGGTGGGTTAATTTTGACCCATACCCAAGTCGGAGTGGAAAACCTTTCCAGGTCGAGAAAACGCTTGGTTTTGCCTTGGAATGGGTGAAAGTCTGAAAAGAACTGGGAGGTCTGGCATTCCCTGCAAGTTTCTGGAAGCCGTACCAACAAAAAACGAGCCTCCTCTACAAATAAGAGGTGTGTGGCATGTGGGTTCCATATCATGAGTCTGCTGGGCTGTTTGCTGTGAATGTCAGGAATTGTCCTGGTGGGCTTTTTAGGAGTGCTTTGCCAAAACGTGAAGGATCCCAACTGAAATGCGACAACACGGGCAGCCCATGTGTCACGGATAAGACTCCTGACTTCTTTAGGAGCCTTTTAGAATGGTGGCCTAACATCCAACTAACCATCCCCAACAACCCAAGAGATTGGTGCTATTTTGACCGTGGCACACGCCCCAAGCCGAGAAAGGCCCGAAAAGGGCCCAAAAACGCACAAGCGTGGATAGGGGAAACCTCCTAGAGGTTGCTCAAAGGGGTATTGGAGGTCTCCCTAGGTCCCCTTGTTTTTGTTGATAAGCTGCGCCAAAAAACGAGTGAAGGCCCTGCATGGGCTCGACAATTTGGTTGCCGAAAGGACTCCTCACTCGCAATATGGGTGACAAATTGTCCCTACATCGTGTAGCTGGGGTTCTGCGGCCTATGATTTGTCCAGGAAAAACATGTTGGTGCGCCACTTATGCTACGTGTTGAACCTCATTGGGCTCGGCATGCCTGAGTTTCTTTAGCCCCCCAAAAATGGAACCATTCTCCGTGGCCCAAACTCTCGCAGAATTTCATCACCAAACCCGCGCCAAGCAAAGAGATGGCCGCGAAGAGTGATGGTCCAATTTCATAACTCATGCTTGTCTGCAGGTTGTAAGGATGGCCATGACATGGCGCTTGCAATATGTCCAATTTTGGATGCGCGGAATTCGATTTCGGGATGGATACAAGAATTTGACAAAGAGAAACGTTTCGCACAACGAGGCTATGCAGCGGCCTCGTTTGATTCCCTACACGAACCCTCGGAATGATTGACACCTCTGGAAGTGGCCCCCATGGCCAACATCAGGTGAGCCGTGCCGCTATGACCTCAAAGTCTCTATGTCCATGGCACCAAATCTGCGGTGGAACAAATGGCCATGGGTCAAAATCCAAATCGTACCCCCAGTGAACATCCCAATCCCCACTAAAATAGGTTCTAAAATGGGTGGTGCACCTACCCCAAATGGGATCCCATTGGTTTTGACCACCACAGCCAAATCCCATCCACCCCTTTTTCACCACCCCATGGCGTTTTTGTTTTCCCGGCCCATTAAAACACAAAATGGTGGCCTGCCACTAAGTCCGGGAAGCCAGGGAGTGAGTTTCCTTTGCTGCAGTAGGGGCAGCCCCCGTTCCCGAGCCTTGGCGCCCTTGATCGGAAGTGGCACCAGGATGCCCGTGACGTTGGGCGCCCCTGCCACGTTGGGAATTTGGGCCTCTTTTTTGGTGGTTGATTTTCAAGGAGAGGAGTTCCACGAGAGAAATGGATTTTCCCTTGTAGTTGATCAGCTTCCCTCCAATTGGTGGTTTGGATTGGTTTGGTGTGGTGATTAAGGAGAGGTTGCATGAAAACCCCCCACAAGAACCACGGGGTTGAAATCACAAACCACCAATCAGCTGACATGTAGTTGATTCTAAAGGGACACCTCCTCCCAAAAAGACAAACACATGGAAAAATCAATCTGCAGGTTAGGGCCTTGATTTGGGCCCGTCCAATGCTGCATGGGCTCGTACTGGTCGAAGGGCCCCCCCGAGTTCCCGTGAGTGCATCCGATCTTATCCACCACGTGAAAGTGCCGGCACGCGATGGTCACCCGATGACCCGCACGGACCAGCCGGGAGATGTACATGTTGGTCGTGTCGCTGAAACCGAAGATCAAGAAATGCTGGGTCCCCGGAGTCTCCGCAATCCTCCTGCAAAGCCGGAGTCACTTGCCTCATGACGCCACAAGACTGGGAAAGGTGCTTCAAACAGATGCGTCGGCCCTAAAGTAAGTCCGTCAAACAAATTAGAAAGAGCTGGCCTCTGATTCGTGGTACTTTGGTTCATTGTCTGATAAAACAAAGAATGCCGACAGGAATCGAAAAGAGGCAAAAGTGCCGGAAAAGGGGATTCAATTGGGAATGAAACTTAATTGGGGAATCTTTAGGGAACATCACTTGCATGGTTGGATTGATGTCCACCATGTTCGAGGATGTTTCGACAATTCAAACATAGCCATGCATACATTTAATACTCGATATACGAATGGATGCATACCAGTCTGGCGGTTGCTTACCCTCCAGAGAGTGACACCCCATTTCAAGACTTTCACAGCCCCAACTAGCAGGTAACAGTAAAGGGAAGAACCAACGAGTTTCACCTCAGCAACTCTCAAATATGGTTTTTGCAGATTTAAGGGAACCTCCGTTGGACCGAGGGTGATTTTGAGTGCCACGTGGATTTAATCAAGAGTGAGAGAAACCAGACCTGGCAGTTCAATTGGCCTGGTCTGCACGCGCTTTGTGCAGATTCCACCTGTTACTCCCCCTGGTCTATTGAAGTTGTTTAGTGCTTAAAATGAGATCCTCATAGGGTCTAAACGAACAAAAACTACATTGGGATCCGCAGATTTCCCGCCTCGCCATTTTCCTTTCGGCTCAGTGAATCCCATTGGCTTATTCGCTCGCCCGCCCGGCTCCCTATATTTCCCCTTAACACATCAGCCCCAAGGAAGCCTCTGAAATTCGCGATGATGACCAAACAAATATTTGGGGAGCTGCTATGACCATCCCCGTCCTTTTGCTTCGCTTTCCCTTGCCTTTGGCTTCCCCGTACACGGTTCTGGCTGGGGGCCAATGGCTCCTGAGGTTCCCGAGGATATCTTGGTCCGGAGAAAAGCCCACTGCATGCACCAGGCGTCTGCAGGACACCAGGAGCTCCCCGGACGACCCGAAGACCTCCCAAGCCGCAGCGCCCAAAAAATGCATCCCCCCTCAAAAAAAAAGATATATATATATATATATATATATGTACTCTATATATATATATATACTATATTATATATATATATGTATGTACTCATAAATGTGTTTAGACGCCCCACCGAAAGGAAACTCACTTCCAAAAACAGCAACCAAAAGATGATGCTTAAAAGCGCCCAAAAAAAGGGAAGCATGCTCATTTCAACCAGGGCGTGTCCAGTGTCAAAGGGGTGGAACGAGAACCGGAAAACCGATTCTTTGTTGAGTGGCCCACCAAACAAAAGCCTTTCTTTTTGGGTGATGATTTGGGTGTCTCTTGTTTTTAGGGGATCCCCAAAAATGGCTGGTCTTCCTTTTCCTCCCTTTTAAGCCACCCCAAAAAGACCCTGAAAAGAGGACACACCGATTTTTCGTGCCTCCCGCGTTCAACAAAAAAGAAAGGGTTTTAGACGGACAGTCGAAACCCTGGGACGGGATCCTGCCATCTGGAGTATAAATATGGAAAATTACGTCTTCTCCTTCAGTTTCATAATTACTCTTGAAGGAGTTTTGAAGGAGACCGCGCGAAGAAAGATACAATCTAGGGGGTGCGCGGTGTTTGGTTTGAACCGGTTCAGCCTGAAAGCCGGGGAAGATAACTCAAGTGAAATGAACCATGAAATACTTTGATCCGGAGATACCCACAGCCAAAGCGCCCTGAAAATTGCCGGGCGCAGGTCAACGCAACCATTCCCCAAGCTAACCTGCAGGGGGGGGGGGGGTGAATGAACGTCATTTTGAGTTTCTCTTGAAAACCATCACAAAAGGGGCTTCCCTTTTTTCCGAGGACAGACGCATAGGTGTTTGCGGGCAACAGCCCACAAATCCAGACCCTGAAAAACCAGGAACCCTAAAGAAGCTGGCCACACAGCATAGACCCACAGAGAAACAGCTGAGCTTAGTTTGCTACCATGTTTCAGGGGTTGCGGCATACCCTGCCACCCCACAAAAGGTTGAGCAAGTCAGAACCCCATTAAAGCGCCTGAGAGGGGGGCCGCTGCCCAACCACCCCCTCAATGGCAAAGGACGGGTCCAACCCCCTTCGGTTTATCACTGTTGACACCAGGCCCGATTCGGACCCCTTCAAAGGGAAACCAACAGGATGGTTGTTGCTGAACCAATAGCAATCGTCGCACTAATTTTCAACCAACTCACCTGGGGGCACAATGAGCTTGGGCCCATGATAACGCTCTCTGGAGGGATCCCTTAATTGAGGTTGATAAGTTCCATCTCCCCAACCTTCATTCACATCCTAAAGTCGTTCATTTTGGTTGCATTCTGCTGTTGGGTGTGTTTGTGAGAGACGGGAGGCAACAATTTTCATTCTGGAAATTGGTACGCCGCCAGGACATTCTCCTAGCCTAGCGGAAAGCCGGAAAGCGACTTTAGGATGGGTTCACCCTCGCCCACAGATGGGCCCCATCTGTTTCTCTGGGAACAAGTGTTGTGCCTTAAAGGAAACCATACTGTGAAATCCTGCACCACCTAAGAAACCCTGGAATGTTGATTCCCGTGTAAATACCAACCAACCATGGTTTCCCATGGTTTCCAAGTGGTGCGAATTGGATTTCGTCCATGCACAGTAGGAAATGGATGGGTTTATAGGGGTCCTTCCATTTCGAGAATCCGCTGAGCAGCGGCAAGAAGGTCCGGAAGAATGGAAATCAGTGCTGACGCCTCTGCTTGAGCTGGCCATTTTGGGTAGGCTCCCGCTTGCCATGGGGAACCAACAGTCTGCCCTGAGGGCCCAGACTTTGGGGGTTCAAAGGCATCAATCACAGAGGTCACCGAGCTCATTGCAATCTGCGCAGAAGAGAGCCCTGGAGCAGCTTGCCCATAGCCCGCCACAAGGATCGCCATATAAACCCTATGAAACCAAGGAGGAGCACGTGCTAAAAGAATGATCCATATATAGGGTTGCACGAAAACCCATTCGCCGAGGATTGGTCGAACCGAAAATGGTGCTCCACAAAAAGCGATTATCAACCTACAGCGGTCCATACAAAGGTTACCCTCAACAAACATGTCTCCCAATGGAGTCTTCCCCCGAAAGTGTAGAAACACCGATGGGAAGGATTGAACCAACCTAAAACCAATCGAATCCATTCCAGTGACCTAAGAGGCCTTGTGTAAAGTGATTCCACCGGCATTTGCTGGATTCTTCCAGCCAACCAATACCATCTCACTGCAAAAGCAGCCGCCGTCTCAGCCCTCGCTGGGTGCTCCGGCCTGGTACTTGCCGTCCGCCTCCTCCACACGGCCCACTGCCGCAAAAACCGTCCGCGCCTGAAGCTCGGGCGTCAGCTCCTGCCGCTTATCGCTTCGATGATGTGTCTGGAGCCTTTGGGCAACCGACCAGTCACGGTACCCCAAGCCTTTAAGGGCAACCCCGGCTTATTGAGGCCTTGAGGGACTTTTTGAGAATTGGGGGGCTTTCCTTTTTGTTGGGGAGACGAGGAATCCAGTGCCACTTTCATGGGGTATTCAAGGCGGGGTGGTTTCCAGTCAGTGCCACATTCAACGAATTGCTATGGCCATGATTGCCCGGGATTTGTGGGGATAGTTTAGGGAGTCCCCCACTTACCCCAAAACCGCATGTGTGGTTCAGGCAAAATTACCTGTTTCTCCAAGAGGATATGAGTCACAATCAAACCCGGTACTGGAATTGTCTACCCAGAACCATGTCAAGAATCGGGGCGGCTTAACCCATTTACGGTTTGGATTCTCCCTTGCGAACCTTCAGCTACCCGGCTTTGATGGTGGCTCGCCTGGGCAATGTGGGATGTAGCCCACGCTAACAGCGTTGCAAGGGAGCAAAAATTCAAATTGTAGCAGTTAAGTGGTTGGATTTCAACCACTAAACCACAATAAGATCAAACATGGGGAAATGTGTCCCGTTGCAACAACCATGAGTAGACCATGAGAAACTTGGTTTGCCACCTGCAGCAGCTTCTCATGGTAGGACCGGGCCGTGTAGAAGGGGAAGTCATAGTCCTCGGCTGCGTGGCGGGAGTTTGACCCTTCCAAGCCGTTGGCTCCATGGCGTCCTTCTAGAGGGCTGTGGGCTGTGCGATCACTTCTCTGATACAACCAAAAGGGCCGAAGCCCAAAGACTAACCCATACAAAGAGGGGATTCCCGAAGATAACAGAGAAGTGGTTGGATAAACCCCGGTGATCCCACGACCCTGTAGACCAGACGGAGGCTGGCTTTGAAACCCATGTGTTCCCTTGGACCAGGGGTCCTCCGTTGGCTTAAACACCACCCGCCCAAAAGGTGAAAGTGAAAGCAAAACCCCAAAGGAAAAAACACTCGCCCCTCGATTCCAGTCATTTGCAAAACTTGGGCGAGGTGGGCAGCGACCAGACTTCGGCAGGACTTCGCGAAGCTCGGGACGGAGTTTTCGAGGAGGGGCCAGAACTCTGCACAGCCCGAGTGACTGACAGCCGAAGTCCAGAACGGGCCGGACAGGGGGGAAGACAGTCGCGGAGAGCACTCTGGGGGTGCTGGGAGGGGCGCACAAGGCCGGGCCAGACGGCAACGAGAACGAAAAGCAGAGGCAGAGCACTCCCCAATAAGCCAGCACCCGCAAGAGGCTTGAGCAGCCGCCTGGTGCCGGGAGGTTCTCGAGACGTCAGAGGAATGCTTCCTTGGACCTAGCCACGGCCATGCGCAGAAGGATGGTGCCCAAAGCACCTCGCTTGGGTCTGGCCCCAATAACATTGTCCGTTGCCATGGGTGTGACTCTGGTTGGGGCCAACTAGTTGGAAAGCCACGGGGCTCCACAAAAATGGGCTTCGCCCATTTCGTTGGAGATGCGACAGGGGTTCCCGACCAAAACCCACCCCCGAGGCCATGGAAAATGGAGCCGGTTCCCTCCCATCGACCCCGCTCGCGGTTCCTTCGAGCGAGCCGAGAATCGTAGTCCCACCAGCTGTAGTTCGTGGACTCGATAGTGGTCACCAAGTCGAAGTTCTCCTTTGCCTCGGCTTGGGGAACCGCTTTGAAACTGGGAGGGTGGGTGGGGGATGGGGTGAGGGGGGTGCGGGGGTGGGGGGTGCACACACCAATCTCTTTAAACGACTATTGAGTATGTATTTCTACCACCATGTGACGTTGTTTTTGTTTTTTCACGGTGTAGAATCATCAAACATGGTCACCAATTTGCCCGGAAGGCGGCAGGGTGAGAACCCCCCCCCACCCCACCCCAAAACCACGGCTTAAACCATCAAACTGCATAAACCAGTAACTCTGTGCTCGAGGGATGTCTAAAACCTTTTCGTTGAAACCGCGTCTTGTACCTGCTGCCCTTTTATTGTTCAACTTCTCAGCGTTCTCAGCAGGAAATGAGACATGGAATGACCCCCTCCCGCAGAAAAGAAAAACAAAAACGAACAAAAACCGAAAAACACTGCTCGGGAATCCGGGCCCACCGGTTCATTCCACCAACCCCCTGACTCGTTGAGTCATCTCACGTGCCCCGGCCCCGCCTCCGACAGCTTCTGCCAGATGCCGAAGGCGGCGCTGGTGACCACGCGGAAGTCCGTGCCGGTCCTCGGCTCGGAAGATGGGGACGGAAGCGAAGCCGGGATGCCGGGCGAGGCGAAACTGGGGGTGGGATTTGGAAAAGAGACTTGGAGCTGTCTTAAAATAGGGGACGCCCAAAATGGCGACGTTCCCGTTCTTTCCGGCTTCCGTTCTTTGCAGCCACAAAAAGGGTACCCAACGAGTCAGGGTATCCCCAACAGCCCGCAACCCCTTGGAGCCCTCTTCAACCCTCCCTGCTTGCTGCCCCAGAGCAGAATCGGGGAGACCCCCATAGCTTTCAGCCGTCGGGGAAACAAGGAAAACATGCAATTATTCATCTTGGTCAGGGCTCCCATCACACCAAAAGGAAGCTCACCCTCCAAGTTGCTCTTCAAACCTCTGTACCGGGAACCTAGAGAGCGTTTCCAACAATGGCCCCCTTTTCTCAGGACAAAAAAAAACACACCACCCTGCCATTTTCGTTGACAGGGACCAATTAGCACTCACCCCCCCCCCCCTCACCCCGCCCCACAGCCCCCCCGCCCCTGCCCGTTCCGGGGGTCTGCTGCAGTAACTTCAGCAGCGGCAGGGAGGACACCCCGAGCCCAACCACGCAGACCTCGCAGTCCATGGCCGCAGCCGATGCCGCCGATGGCGCGGATGCCGATGGCGCAGCAAGGGCTTCGCGCGGTGTGGGCTTCGGACGTTGGGAGGTGTGGTTGGAGGTAGATGAGCCTCTAAGACGAACCCGAAAGCCCCAAGTCGGAAGGTAACTTGCTGTTTGTTGGTGAAAACAGCAAAGTTCAATCAATACGGTCAAGAGCGAAGGTCCAACCAAAAACACATACTACTCCAATAAAGTCAGCATTCAACAGCGACGCTTGGAAGGAGCTTGATATTTGGGGATGGTGGGTCCACTATACTTCCCTTCAAGCATCTCCCAACACTCACGTTTGATTGGCTCCCCACAGAGCTGGTCAAAAGCACCGAGCCTGTCAAAGCCACATCATTCGGATTTGTGCTTGTCTTCTTCTCCGGCGAATCACGAGGACGGCATTGGGGAAGCGTGTGAGGGCTATTTTTGATAAGGAACCCCGTGGTATACAGCATGGGGATGTGTGTCCACCCACGACTTCTGTGGGGGGCGAAGTAAAATTCACAGCCATGTTTGTTTGTACAAGGCGATTGTCTGCGACAGGTTCGAGCCGAGATTGAAGAACGTGGCGATCTAGCCCTTGCTGAGATCGTGGCTTAAGAATTGCAAACTGGGTGGCCCCCGCATCCACCTAGACTGCCGACACGAATCCATTTCTCGGGGGAACCCTTTTGGTGGTAAGCCAAAGGGAAAAGAACCCATGCACTCGGCGTTGTCCATTGGTCCGCACAAGTTTACACTGCTAAGGACTAAGGACCCTCAAATCAGATTGATCCATGTGGCACGCAATCAGAGTCAAAGTGCGGTTCCTTAGGTTTGCACTGGCACTTCCGCTATTGCCTACAACAGAAGACTCCAAAGGCAGAGCAAGTGTACTTGGAACTGTACTCAGTCTTTCACCGAAGCAAAGCCTTTCGAACTTCGGGGGTTCCCTTGACTAGGGTCTTCCAGATTCAGGACTTCATGTCCTAATATTCCCTCACTCCAAATCCAGCTGGCTTTGCTGTGCTTCCATGGTTGCACACTTCGCCGGTTCCCGAAGCTCCCATTTGGAGGTGGCAACAGATTCGGTTCGGCCGATTTCACTTGGGCCGGCGGGGTCATGAGGCGTATCTGCCTTCTTGAGGAACCTGACACTTCAAACAGGGATTCTTACATTATACACCTGAACATTGCCTTGTAACTGGTGGTTTCCCTGTATTTTGGTGGAAAAAGCCATGTTTCAAATGGGCAGGAGCCCTGTCAAAGACCATCCGATTTCCACAACGTGGGTTCCATGAGAAAAGCGGAAAACGCCGTTTTCAAATGGCCCGGGGATCAGCGGGGCGCAATATCGTGGATCTCGCGCTCGCCGACCACCGGCAAGTTGATCCTCACCTCGCGAGAGGTGAAAACCAGGCTTGCTGGATGGCTCGTCTTTGTGTTGGAATCGGAGCCCAAAAATGGCTGCGTTGGCCATTTAATGAAAATGGCCATGGGTCAAAATCCAACTTGTACCCCCAGTGAACATCCCAATCCACCCACTAAAATAGGTCCTAAAACGGGTGGTGCACCTACCAACCGAAGTGGGATCCCATTGGTTTTGACAACCACAGCCAAATTTCCCGGATGGCTTGCTGGATGCGATCCATTGACGTGAACGGCCAAATTGATCACTTGCTCTTTCCTGAAACCCGAAAAAAGCCCCTGTGGCGGTGAGGAAAACGTGATAGACCTTGTTTGAAGGGTGCATCCTTTCTGCTTTAACACCATTTGTTGCTGGCAGATTGTGGCGGGGTTGGAGCCAGGATCAAAGTTGTTTCAGCATTCAGTAAGAAAAAAAAGCTTGTGTTGACAGCTTCATGCACTTTCTCGCTCATATGGGTTTGTCTCAATATGGGGGAACCTCACCTCCCGACGATCAGTGGTTTTCTCTTTGGTTTCCGTTTAAGCCAGCCCAGAATGGTGTTTCCTCATAAAGAGAAGTGCCAATCTTCGAACCTGCTAAATAAGCGCCTTGCTGCATCAACAGGTCCTTTCATGAGCTTTGTTTGAGGTCAAACCGCCTTCTCCAACGACTGCCATGCTTGCCTCTAACATCAAGGATTTCTGGGCAAATTACTGTGGTTCACAAACCGCACCATGGAATCCACAAGCAAAGGACCATCAAGTCCTGGACCTGCGAACTTGTAGTTGCGGAACAGTTTGTTGAGCCTTCTCGCTTGGCAGCTGTCGAAGACACTATCTACAGGGAATGCTACAGGAGGTTTGCCAAAGCAACTGGCTTTGATGGGCATGTCATTCGGGCACCACTGGGACCGCTCAAGCCGACCCGTGGAAACCTCAAAAATCGTCCGGTGATGGGCATGTCACTGTACCCAACTTCCAGCGAACATTTCCTGGTTTCCATGAAAGAACTTGTTGCTTCCGCCTTTCGGACTGTAAAGGCTGCGGAGCCATGATTTTTAGCCACGCGGGTCTTGGCAATTCATAATCCGGTGCGAACTTCTTGCGCGGAGGTTCGATGGAGAAGGGAAACTTGAATGAGAATTGTCCAATGATTCAAACTCAAGGTCAAGGGTGTCAAGGGTGTCAGTGGCTGGCAGTCTTCTGGGTTTCTGTTGAAGGGCCATTTATAAAAAGGCAGGTGGTTTTTCGCCCACTGGGCTAAATGGGCGACAGGCAGTTGCTGGAGCGCTGTTCGCAATTTGATCCTAAAGCCAAGAGGCGGCCGTGTTTTCCCCAGTTACTTGAATATCAACTGGGCAGAAGCTGTCCCCCATCTTAGGCGACGTGGCCTCTGCAGAAAGTCTGGCTCCCTGCAAGTTTGACCTGGAACCCACAAAGCCATGACTTTCAAAAGCATTTCCTTTTAAACAGATGAGAGCGCCCCCATAAAATGAGTCCTTGACCAGCTCTCATCTCTGCGCTGCACATGGAACATGACAAAAAAGGCAAAGAAGCCAACAAACCAAACCCAGGCAGGCAAAAGTAGTCAAAAGCAAGCAAAAGGCAGCAACAGCAAGCAAATGCAAACAATGGCAAACAAAAGCAAGCAAACACGATGCAAAAAGAAAGCAACGCCAAACCACACCATGCCCGACCAAAGCAGACCAGCCAATCTCAACCCAAACGCGAACAGCACCCAAACCCCAACGCCGAGCACGCAAATATAGAAAGAAAAATTCTCAGGCGAGCGCCCCAGGCACGTTCACATTCTTCTTCTCCCCCAGCCTTCCGTCATTCAGCACCTTGCCAACCGCTTCATTTTGGGAGGCTTAAGATTGGGAAAGCCCTCGCCATGAAACTGCCAACTATGGTACCGCCTTCATTGGGAGACACTTCTTGAAGCTGGCCACGCAAACTGCCCCACCCACCCTACCACCCTACCACCACCTCGCCCCCCTACCCAGATTCTGGCCATGATCTTGTGTTGAAAGGTGCTGTCACCTGCCATGAGAAGATTACATGAAGGGACATAACACCGTCAGACATAGGAACAGCGATCTGCAAGAGTGGGCACCAGGTCGTGGCTTTTTCATGCGGGCTCCGATGTATGGTGGATGACCCATTTCTGGTGGAATCTGACAGATTATTTCACGAGCGTCATGAAACCTTCAACTTGGAGAAAAGCGGTCTTCAAATGCATGTAGAATATGCTCCACCCGTTGTTTGCTGCTGCCTGAACGGCGAATCTGAATCCGCTTTTTGAAGCTGCTGCGCTACCTGCTTGTTGTTCATTATTTTGTCTGTCCTGAAATCCTCTTACTTTACGAAGTTTCCTTCCTCGTCTCTTTTGATGGTCAGGACCCCTCGTCCTGTCACCCAGTTTCTTACGGAGTTTCCTGATGTCAACTAAGTCAAACATTTCATTTTCTAACCAGGATTTGCATTCCAGGAGCTTTGCTTCAAGGAGCTGTTTGTTGTATGCTCGGATCTCTTGTTGTGTTGCGTCCTTCCGTTTCTTGCCAATTAACTGTTTGTCTGTTTCGACTTCGCGTTCACCAGGTGTTTTGAGGGGTTCCTAATGGTTTAGCTCACTTTGCACGCTATGCACGGGGGCGCGCCTTGGTGTCCACCCAATCGCCACCAGTCCCAGTCACCTGAGCGTGTCTCGTTTCGGCAGTCGTCCTTCCAAGTGGAGCAGAAAAAGACTGAAACCCTTCCAAGAGCAGGAAAAGAAACAATTGAAAACTGAAGCTTGAAAATTTCTGAGTAGCTGGGGGCCAGGTGTGGAACTTCGAAAGCTGCAGCATTTTTGGGCGTGACGCAAGCACGCGGACTCTGGCTGAGTTGGTTTTTGCGAATCTTACTTGCGAACGCTAGGGGTACCACGAGGAAACCGGCAACCAATGGCAAAAGATCGGCACTACAAACGGGCAGATCAAACACTTGAATAACCCTCCTTCTGGTTTCCCTTCAAAAGAGGGGCCAGAGTCTAGTTTGAACAATATCGCCAACTTGATTCTAGTGTCCTTCTAGTTTCCTTCTTGATTCTACGGGTAAAGCTCGGAATCTCCAAAACCGAAGGAGCTGCTAGAAATCAAAGTTTCGCCCAAATTCCTTCAGGGACCTCAATCATAGGGTTGGCAAATCTATTGAATAAGGTGGTGCTTGCAGAGCTTGTACGGAGGGGTGTCCTTGTTTGAGCTTGCGTGCCCTTTTTGTGCATGTGTGTGTATGTCGTTTGCTTACGAAAAGCCAAAGAAACATATATACGTTTGTGAGAATGTCCTTCTTTGCTTAAGAAAGATGCTGTTTGCAAATCAAGTTCCTCCCCCCCCCCCCCCCACACGCCTTCCCCCCAGCTGGGACTTTCACTTGGCAACAAACCCCAACGTGAGGCCCGTCTGTCTCCCATGTCCCGACGCCTCGAGAACGATGGTTCCTTGGCGGCGAAAGCGCCGAGTCTCGCTCCTCTCCCTTTAGCGACCAAATCCTTAAGCTACCAGAAACAACAACGAGCAGAGGGGAAAGACTGGAAGTCCCCTGAAATACCGGGAGCCCTTCCTTGACCAGCTGAAGCCGAATTGCTAGGTACCGGACCTCACCAAACGGGGTTCATAGGCCTTAAAGTGCCCAAACATGTTGGCAGTTGCAAAGGCTGCGCCAAAAAATGACGAATCTAGGGAAGCTTGTACAAAGTGGACCCTGTTGGCTTAGCCCAAAAAAGACGAAAGATCCGCTTCAAAAAGGTGCCGCATTTCGGAACATGCCGTTGTGCCATGTGAAGCTGCAAACCGTCCTTGCAGAACACAGGGGTACTCCGAACCTGTCAGCAAAGGTAGAAGCTTGGTCCTCAAAAAGCGTTTAAGGTTCGGAACGACCTTGTTTTGTGGTCAAGGGCAAATTCAGGAAAACCCCAGAAGCCCTGGGGATCGAGGTTCAGGATACACTCCTGAACATTGCCTCGAAGGGTCATTTGAAGTTCTTGGGGCACCATCCCTTCATGTCTCGGCCGTCCCCGACAGGTTCCGCCAAAAGCCGTGTCTGCGACATTTGTTGCCACCATCTCCGAACCCATGACTTCTGCTCACGTTCACATACGCAAGGTACATCAAACAAATAAACGATGGCAAGTCCCTTTGCAAGGAACCTTCATGTGTGCCCAAGTTGGTTATTCCTAAGGTCCGTGCTTGCCGGACGGACTAAAAGGGACCTCAAAACTAACAACCGGGGCTGGGTCCAAACAAGTCCCAGCCTGGGTGCTTCAAAGCAGTTGACAGGGTCCGAACACTTCAACGTCTGAGTGTTTCCAGTATGATCTTCCCATCTCTCAGAAGCCATACGCCTTGTACGAGACCGGAGGCGAAGCAAGGCCAGACCCCCATTGCGGCCCTTTCGCGCGCCGCTCGCAAGGTGTCCCTCACAAGCATCGTCTCTCCAGCAAGTTGAGATGAGCGCCCATCCGTGTCGAAAGAAAAACACGAGAAAAAAAAAAAAAAAAGCTCGGTGCAGCTGCAGCATCCCCTCAAATCCCACCTTCGCGGACTCCCATCCGGGGGCCTTTTTGCGAGGCCGCCATATGGCGCCTTCACAAGAAAAACGGGGGGGCAGCCTGCCTTGCGATAGAAAAGGAAAATCAAGGACAGGCCCTGGTAAAGACCCGGGCCCGGGATCCCGCACCGGGCAGGTTCTAACTTAGATGGGGTCCTGATCAAAGGACTTCCAGAAACCTTGGGGGGGGGGGGGGGGGCTGGGATACGTCCTGAGCAAGGGACTTCCCTTGATGCTTAACCCTCTCGGTGCCATTGCGTTGCTGGCAAGCCGCCATCTTGTAGCAGAATGCGCTGGCCAGGCTTCACGTCCTCTCGTGCTGGCCAGGACCCAGGCCCCAAACAGGGAGCAAGCCTCTTCAAACCTGGCAGCCTAACCAAAAACAACATCTAAAAAGGTGGTGACACTGCAAGGCATGCCAAAAAACAACAAACGAAAACGCAATCATGGGCCCCACCCCGATCCTTGCTGTGATCCTTCAAGACACAACAAAACCTGAGCAAGAAAAGTCGGCACATGTCAGCACTATGGGCCCGAGAAGCCCTGCCGAACATTGCTTCACCCGTTTCTTGGTTTTACATCGAGTGGTGGAGAGCTATTTTGTTGTGTTTGGTTCTTTTTCTTCTTTTTTGTTGGGGGGTGGGGGGTGGGAGGGGGTGCGTAGTTGATTCCCTAAATGTATGGTCAAGTATATAGGGAACTTCAGGAATCCATCTCCGCAAACAAGAAGAAAATAAGAAAGCTGCTTGCGCGCGAGCGGTTTGGCAATGTACCAGCTTCGGGAGTTGATTGAGCCACAATCTTAAGCCGATGTACCCAAACCGTTTTTGAGTGAGGCACGGATAATGTTGACCCTGCAATAATCAACCCCAGTGTTGTGAGAGAGCGACCGTTTCTGAATCTTTCTGGGTTTAGTGAGCAATCATCACTTTTAAAGGTATCCGGTGAGTTGAAGTTCATGTGGTTCTGTTACGGACCAGCCCAGAGCGCACAAGTCTCCCACTCGCAAACACGTGATCCCTGTCCAACCGAAAACCCAGGGAAGTCATCTCATGAAGCTCTGTGGTCGCAATCCCGCAGGAAACCCAAGACTTCTCCCATGGGTTTTGATCGCTTTGACAGGCATCTAAATGGCGCGCATAGAAGTAGACCAGTCACAAGTGGCAAACAGAATGTTCGACTCATAGCTTCAAGGAAGGGGCCCAAGAAAAAAAAGAAAAAACACCTTCACCACCCATTTCGCAAACAAAAAATGATTCGGAGAGGACATCGCCCCAAGACCGGAGCTAGTCCATTCCTGCGGCAGGTCTTGGTAAGTGATGGCCACCGCACTCTCGTCCCCTGGCATTGGAGCATTGGAGCTTCGAGCACAAATTTGAACAAGACATGGGATTCCAAAAAGTTCTGGGCGAAGAAAAATATGTCACCCTGCAAAAAGGTGGTTGGGGGGCCTATTAGTTCTATTCCCCACATAAACCACCGTTTGGGGTGAATTCGGTCTCGTGAGGTCGTTCTAATTCACCCAGAAAGTTGCATCCCTCGCTCAAGAGTGGCAGAAGCTTCATCCCATAAGATCACAGAAGGGCCCATCATCGGGCCCTGCAAAAAGCATGTTTTGCATAATGCTGAAATACGGGCGTGTCCAGCAAACGTCAAAACCTCGGGGGGAAAAGCCTGAAAGCATGAGCAAAATGAATCCTCGACGGAAATCTTGGGGTCTCCACCAGTGAGACCAAGCAACAACTAAGAAGGGGGAGCAAGATGCAGGCAAGCCAAGAAAAACACCAAAATGCAAACAATCCTCCGAGGGTCAAGGTAGGTTCGCTGTTTCTGCATTTCTGCACCGCGCATTTCACGAATCTTCGGGGCTTGAGGTGCAGAAAAGGTGTTGGAGACGTGTTTTCTCTGCGGGTCCTGCGCTTATTCCTGAAAGGTCCGCGGCTGGTTTCTGTACCTCGGCACAAATCTTTCGAGACATCTTTCGCGGCACCGGAAGACATGCCAAGAGCTGCCCTTGATGCTATAATCCGTCAAGAGCCGGAATGGCTGCCCGGCCTTCAGCCTCGGCAGATGCAAAAGCTCCGCTCTCTGCCCCTCTCCGCTGCCACTTTCTGCTTGTTTCTGCTTTCTCTCTCCGCGCCCCAAAACCTGACGCATCCAAGGACACACAACTCTCTCTCGGCTGCAACCAACCGATCGGATCCTCATTTTGTCAACGAACCACACACTCCGAAACCTGCCGGCCAACATGGACTGCAAAGAAAGGGGGGGGTTCATGCCATGGCAAGCAGCAAACTCCTCGAAGGAACAGAAGTGGCAGTGCCAACGTAGGCATTGGACACTTTGACGTCTCCATGCCCGCAATGGTGCCGACGAGCGGCATGTGTTAAAACAGGGGGAACGGCCAAAACTGGTGTCCTTTGAACCAGGGTTAGTCTTCAGCAAGCTCCCTTTGAACCCAGGTGAAACGGGTGCCCTCAGAAGAAACCCACCCACCCACCCACCCACCCACCCACCCACCCACCCACCCGCCCGCCCGCCCGCCCGCCCGCCCACCCACCCACCCACTCGCACAGAAACAAACCACGTGGTTTGGCCAAAAATGGGCTCGGCCCTCTTCAGCTGCAATTGGTCTGGACCAATTGATGCGGGCATGTCCGTTTTATGGAGGGCGCCCCCTTTTCCAGGATATGTTTTCAAAGGGAAAAGAAATGGAAAGCACCTGGTTTTAGTGAGGCGGTCCTGCATTTGAAGTCAACCCGTGTATTCATATGAAGCTTGTTGAAAGTGGCATAACGAGTATACACACTAGTACTCACTAGTACTCACTTGTGGTCAAACAGTCTCTCTTACTTTGCTATGGCTTGCTATGGCTCCAAATCAGTGTATGCTTACTTTGCCGTCGAGGCGGTGGCTCGTGCAAGTTGCTAGAGACAGTGGCGTGCTGCTCCTGAATAGATGACACAATTCCTGGGAAATGTAAGGAGATGACAAAACCAACATGGAGTGACTACTAGCTGCAATTGGCTACTAGTATCTGGATATGGCTCTGAAGTGCTCTGAAGTGTTGGAAATAAGCGCAGGTGACATGCAGAAAGAGCGACGACCGTCCGTGCGGAAAGGGGTTCGCCTGTTCCATGTTGGTTTCTGGAAGGGTGCAACTTCAAGAGTCAAAACTGTTCCTTTCGGTTATTCTCCAAAGAGGGACACGATAACCTCTCTGGGCATGGGTGTTGACCATGAATCATCCCATTACGCTCATCCAAACAATCGGCTCTAGCCTGCTCTAGCCTGCTGGAGGCAACTGGCCAGAGCCCCGGGCTTCTTCTTCTCATTGTAGACCTGGAGGGGTGATTCCCAATGCCGGATCTGGCGAATCAACCGAGCTGGGTGCAGCATGCGTCATGTTGTAATTGGTTCACCACTCTTCAGTCAATCGCACATTCATGCATGTAATGTTGACGCCGGATGAATAAACCGGTTTTCTTATGGAGGAGGATGTTCCTCTCCAAAAGTGATGAATCGCCGCCAAAAAAGGGACACTCTCCTTTTAATCAAGCAGGGGTGTATTAATCCGGGCTTCGAGTCAGCTCTCTCACCTATGCCCCAACATGGCCATGTTGACGGACAAAAGCCGCACTTGTATGTGGGAAACAACTCTCTTTCTGTGACTTCGTTGTTGTTGTTCCCTTAGCATCACAAAAAGTGGCAACCTCAAACCACCAAGAGCTGCGCATCTTGACTCTCCACTGACCACAGGTGTCCTTGTGAGAGAAAATAGCTGGCCGTGGATCTGGAAACCAGCCAGGAGCCACCCTCGATTTTCTCCCCAAAACTCCACACGAGCACCCGCCAACCACTGACGCCAACCACCTCCGAAACCGGGGGCCCCTGGAGCACAGCGGCCTCGAAGTACCCGGTGCGGATCTCGGGGCCCCGGGTGTCCATCAAAACCTTCACGCTGCCAACGGCCTGGGCATGGCATCGGTGGGGAATGAACCCAAAGACGGTTGGTTCACCCCTTGGGACGGGCTTTGCGGGGTGTGAAGGTATCAAGGAAATCACAAAGGGGAGGTTCAGTTCGGGGTTCCATATCATTCCCTGAGAACCGGCTAGGTCAGAAGAATGCGAATTTGATTTCGGGTTCTTTTGGGTGGGCATCGTGTAGGTGAGGTGTTATGTCCGCAAGTGATTTCCTAATTGAAATCCACAGCCGTTTAGGCAAGACGATGCTGGGATGGGAAAATCCCGGCTCAGACAAAAAGGCAAACATATCCTGGAGCGCTGCTTGGATATTCGTCAGGGAAGCAGGCGATCACCATGCTAAGCCGCCTTTTTAGGGCCCGTATTTTGGGTCCCCTTTGTACACACCCCTTTGGTAGGCGATGGTGTGGAGTAGCGCAATGCCATCAAAGCTGGTTCAAATCCCCCCAGGTACCACCAGTGCTGCTCACGCCGTCCGTGGAGACCACACCAAATCCGGCTACACCCCCCTTTGGTTCACCGCGCGATTCTCACACGTGCCTCGGGGACGAGCTCGTAGGCCTTGGCCAAGTTTTGGAGCTTCATGGTCTGCTCCTCGTGGTCTCCGTGAGACATGTTGCAGCCTGAGCGTCTGGGGGGGCCGGGGGGGGGGGGGGCTAAAAAGAATACAACCCCGAATTTGTTGAGGGTGTCGATGGGAGGGGTATTTGGAGGTGTTGTTTTGTGTACGGCGGCCGGCAATAGGTACAACATGCAGAAGCCCGCCACAAGTCCTCACCCAACCAGCGACCGACCCAGGCCCTAGCAACAGGCCTGAAAAGAGAACGAAAACAAATAATCGCAGGCAACCCCAACTGAAGCCTCTCATGTGTTTCTCAAGGAGAAAGAAACAAGAAACAACCCAAAAAAAACAAATCGCAAACAGAGTGACATGTGACCAACAAGCTTTTTGCCAGGCCACGGACGGTGTTCATCCCTGCGCCGATGAGACCTGCCAGCACCTTGCACGGCTCAGCTCTGGGTGACTTTCGCCAACTGCGGTGGTGTATGTTCTCGTCTCAACGAGCAAAGGTCTGGGTAAATCACGTTTCACCCACGCACGCTTGTGAGACAAAGCGTCCTTCAAGCAACTGGTCCAAGCAAAGTGCGATGAACCAACATTTTCTCCGACCTGAAATGAGAGCCTCCTTCTTCATGACACCAACTGGTCACAAACCTCGGTTGGTGAGGCAGTCAGCAACTGGCGCCTTTCCCACTGCGGCCCCAAACATGGCCTAAGGTGGCAAAACAATGGAAATCCAGGCTCCAACGTTGCAAGCAAGCCTGTTTTCGGTCTGGCCATCTGTGGGGACACATGTGGTTGCCCTTTTTCCAATGGCCATCACCTTTTCGGGTCAGAAAATGGTACTCTTGTGATTGATTGCTTACAATTAATGCCAACCAAGGGAACTTGGTAAAGGACACACATCTGCAACCCCTAGCCTGTCGCCATCAGCCTGTCGCTGTCAAACACGCGTAAACCTGAGAATCTGTCGCAACCTGGTTGGACAGTCAAATCCTGCTGTTTGACCCACATTCTTAATCAGCATTTGAATCACAAGGCTTTGCAAATTTTCACAGAAAACAAGAGGAACATGCGCCTCTTTTGGAGGGTCCTTGCGCCATGTTTAAGACGATCCAAACAGTCGAGTTGCCGGGTCGTGCACAACTACGTTGCAGTTCAACAAACGTCAGGAGACTCCATTCTACGGGAGACTCCAGAAAACCAAACAAAGCCACGCAACCTCGAACGACGATTCCATCAAGACCAACACTTGCCGGTTCTCAATCGGAACATCCACCTGGCGAAAAAAATCCGGGATCCAAAAAAAAAAGCCAGCCACACCCGGGCCCTTGGTCTCAGAGCTCCATATCTTGCCCCCGAAGGCCCACGAGCTCCACGAGCTTTCGACCGCGGCCTGGGGATCCCAGGACTTGGGCCCGATGGTGCAGATGATCTCCTCGACTCGGACGACATCCGGTGGCTCCCAAAGCCCCAACTCGGCGTGACCCAAATCGGTGGCTCCATCCGAGTCAATCCGAACCACCAAGAAAACACGGGAGCCCATGGGTGGGGAATTCACCCACCAACATGGGAGCCCAAAACGGTGTTGATAAGCACGGCCGAAACGCCCTGCCGCCAACCCGCCCTTCCGATCATCCGATCATCCGAACATCCGAACATCCGAACACATCAACGACATCCCGGCCCTGAACCAAGGGCCGGAATCCAAAACCGAGCCTGGAAAAGGTGGAAGGAGAAAGGGCCGGCCCTGAACCAAGCCTAAATCCAAAACCACCGGACGGGACAGGGAGAAATGGAATGTGAGAACAGAGAAGAGGAAAGCGGCACGAGCCTGGAAAGGGTTCAAGGGGCATGCAGGGAGGAGAGCAGAACAAACAGACCGGCAAGAGCGGAGGATTGAAAAGAAAGCACGGAAAACATGATAATAGATTGTGGGTGGCGGCGGTTGGCGGCGGACAGTCCGGGATTTGATCCTCTGGTTCGTGCAATTCAGTATTTTCAGCCCCCCTTCCCTCAAGCCCTGACAAATCAGGCATTGTGGGAAGCTCAGCCCCCAAAAGAAACCTAGCGAACTTAGGTAGCACAACTAGCTTTCGTGATTTGGTCTATTCGCTCAGTCCAAGAGGAATCTCTGCCACACACCCCAAGAAAAGGTCCAAGTGTCGTCCCAAATCTGAGCCAGATCCTTCCGAGGTCCAAAACCCGAATTTTCACCGACCGCTCCGTCTTCCGCTTCGCCCGCACGTCGCTGCGCCCCCCCAGGACCTCATAGGCCTGCCAAAGAAAGGCGTGACTGTTTCGGAGTACGAAACCCCTCTCTGGGGAGCTGTTTCGGAGTAGCCATCTTTTGGTAGGCAACCACCCCGAGCACCATAAAGGTCGCCGAGTATGTGCATCTCATAAGCATCCTCATCACAACCAACGATTTGTCACTTTCAGCTTCCAAGCCATCTTTTCCGCTTCTCCCGCAGACTTTCCTCTGAAGATATTCCGAAGAGCAAACAGATTGCTTGTGATTTGGCAGGCGCCACAAATGCTCGGATCATCGTGTGGGTACACTGTCATCTCAGAACTGCTCTGAAATGCATGGCTTCTGGGGTACAGCACCTTCACCTCAACACACCGGATAGAGCACACCTCCTGTCCAGTCCACCGGCCGGACACGTAGAAATTTGTTGACTCGTACTGCGCACAGCGCCGTTCCCCTGGCTCCTCAACCTCCTTCGGCGGAGCCCTGGTAAATCCGCTTCTCGGGTGAAACTGAACCTACTGAAAAATACCACAATAATGATGCCTAGATCAATAGGCAAAGGGTATATGACAGGGTATCAACGTGGCCAAGAGACCTTACCAACGTGTGACCAGCCGAATTCTTCGACGTGTTCCAAAACCCGAGCTGCCCTTCTAGTCCTACAAAGACGGTCACCAAGGCCCTTGCAGGCCACTGAAGCTGGTCTCGAGGCTAGCGGACCCTTCAGCCGCTCAGATTTGGGTGCTGCCAAGAATTCGACCAGAATAGCACGGGACCCCACCGACCCCTTCCGCCCCAGCCTTCGGGAAGTTGAAGGGCTTCTGCTGAAAGACGTCTGTCTCGGGACGGGCGCGGGGTGCAAGGGAAAACCGGAAAATCCCGGGCCTTTTGGGAGGAGGAGAGGACACTGCTTGAAGGGTGGTCCCTCGAACTTGCAGGTCAAGCCACCTTTTGCCCCGAAACTGGGCACACCCAGCGCGGGAAGTCGTTCTCTTTGAGCTTCGGAGTTCAGACATGCACGCCTGGCACTTGATCGGACCTTGTTGGCCCCCATGTGTTCCCAAAAATGCCCCTTCAAGACTCTGCTGGAAACTGAATTCCTTGCCTCCTTCTCTCCTTGTCCGGGACCCGACAGCATCCCTTTGAAATGTTGGGAACATGAAACCCAACAAGGTCTTCTCGGACCCTGGGTCGGACAAGAGCTAGATCCAAGCTGTCTCATCTTGAGCACGCTGGCCGACGTGGCAGTAGCAGCCAAAGACCAGGTTTGCATTGCACACATTCCCCGCCCGCCTCCGATTGTGTCCCTTCTGATCGAAAGTAGAGTCAAGACTCAATTTGTGTGTTGCAGGTTGAGCGGTAGTCCATGCCCAACCTCCCCCATGATTGCTAGAAAGAGGCTCTGTTTCACGTGTCTACCCTAAATAGATGCATACCTATATATATATATATATGTGATCCATACCCCCCCCATGAACATGAAACCTGACGTTCAGGAGGTCCCTTTGGGAAAATGGTCTTCCACCAGGACCCCCCCCGCCCGTCATGTCACGTCACGTCAGCTTCCACGCTGGGCCTCCGCGCTGCCATGGCGCGCACACATGCTGCGCCTGGAGCTGTCCGACCTACTCCTAGGGAAGCCAGGCCTCTGTGTTTGGTACCCTTTTTGGGTTGATGTTCAGGAAAAGGGTTCCAGAGGGCATGGAAAATGACCACTGTGGTACAACAAAAAGGGTCGAAGCCCAAATACTAACCTCACAATTAAAGAGGGGATTCCCTTATATCACAGAAGTGCCGAGTGATCCCACAACCATGTTCCAGAGGAGACAAACCTCTACCCCTGATATACCCCGAAAAAAAGCAGCCTCCCATCAAGTCGACTCGACCACGTTGGTAAGTTGGATGCCATGAAATCACCAAGAACAAACACAATGTTAGCACTGGAGTCACTGGAGGTCTGGTTTCGGGCAAACCGGGAGTGAACGGAGGTTTACTAAAGTGACCAAGAATCAATCAGATAGCACACCCAACAGGTATAGCCAGCACACCTTTGGAGATGCCCCGGGAAATGGGCCGCCAGCTGGAGGTCCATGTGCCTCACTACAACTCGGGGTTCCCATTCGATCAGGGCTGTGGAAAATGACCACTGCGATACAACAAGAAGGGCCGAAGCCCGAAGACTAACCCCACATTCAAAAGAGGGGATTCCCAAAAGTATTGCAGTGGGGATAAGCCCCGAGTGATCCCACAACCCAGCATTGGGTTGCTTCAGCCCCCACCTTGACGGCCTCGGAGACGTCGCCACATGGAGCAGTCCAGCGCTTTCCCGAAGCCGGCGCCGGCTTCGGAACCGACCAAATGGGCTGAGGATCGGAGGTGTCGCCGCGCCAGTTCCACAATCACATCCATTGGCTGGCAAAAACAACGGAATGGGGTACCAATCTGCATACATATACATATGGAGTAGCTACGAGCTATACAAGGGTGTGTGTGTGTGTGTGTGTGTGTGTGTGTGTGTGTGTGTGTGTGTGTGTGTGTGTGTGTGTGTGTGTGTGTGTGTGTGTGTGTGTGTGTGTGTGTGTGTGTGTGTGTGTGTGTGTGTGTGTGTGTGTGTGTGTGTGTGTGTGTGTGTGTGTGTGTGTGTGTGTGTGTGTGTGTGTGTGTGTGTGTGTGTGTGTGTGTGTGTGTGTGTGTGTGTGTGTGTGTGTGTGTGTGTGTGTGTGTGTGTGTGTGTGTGTGTGTGTGTGTGTGTGTGTGTGTGTGTGTGTGTGTGTGTGTGTGTGTGTGTGTGTGTGTGTGTGTGTGTGTGTGTGTGTGTGTGTGTGTGTGTGTGTGTGTGTGTGTGTGTGTGTGTGTGTGTGTGTGTGTGTGTGTGTGTGTGTGTGTGTGTGTGTGTGTGTGTGTGTGTGTGTGTGTGTGTGTGTGTGTGTGTGTTGTGTGTGTGTGTGTGTGTGTGTGTGTGTGTGTGTGTGTGTGTGTGTGTGTGTGTGTGTGTGTGTGTGTGTGTGTGTGTGTGTGTGTGTGTGTGTGTGTGTGTGTGTGTGTGTGTGTGTGTGTGTGTGTGTGGTGTGTGTGCGTGCGTGCGTGCGTGCGTGCGTGCGTGCGTGCGTGCGTGCGTGCGTGCGTGCGTGCGTGCGTGCATGCGTGCGTGCGTGCGTGCGTGCGTGCGTGCGTGCGTGCGTGCGTGCGTGCGTGCGTGCGTGCGTGCGTGCGTGCGTGCGTGCTTGCGTGCGTGCGTGCGTGCGTGCGTGCGTGCGTGCGTGCGTGCGTGCGTGCGTGCGTGCGTGCGTGCGTGCGTGCGTGCGTGCGTGCGTG